AGGGAGGGAGGGAGGGAGAGAGAGACTTCGAAAAGGAGCTTAGCACTATGTTCTCCCAAACCATTTTTCGTGAGAGTTCATAGGTGTACTAGGTTCCCTACGAAAAAAATACCCTGTGCGCTTGTCGAACACACGTAAAAGTTTGTCACAACGTCATTGAACTCCCTCACTGTTCTGCAGTTCAACACCGAGAGACGCCGATGAGCCGGCAGTCGGCCATGTCGTTTGGCGGCCTGCTGGCGGCAGCAGACAGCACGACCCGCGTTGAAGTCTCCCCGACGCCCCGCTGGACCAGCCCCGCAGCAGCCCAGCCGGCAGCGGCGCCGCACCGCCGACCCGCCGCCGCAATGGCGCCGCGTATCGTATAGAGCGCCGCGGTGTGGCGCCGCCATTGCGGACGGGGACCGACGTTTCGCTGAGGACGCGACGGATTAACAGCAACGCGTCCTCATCATCACCGTATCATCATCGAACAGGTAAAAAACTGACCATCTAGCAGAAAAAAAACAATGAAATGATAGATGTCGATGAGGACTTCGAAAGATGCTGCTGTTGCTGTTACAACCAACCATTCCCTAAAAGGACAATTTTCTGATAGTTTCTGTCCAACGTGAAGTGGAAAATGTAGCATGGTTCTCACAACGAATGAAATACGGTTCTTTCATCATTCCTGAAAACTAAGAGCCGAGGGAAACCACCCAAAAATTCGCAAACGTTTGAGCCCCTTTCAAAAAAGATAGATTAAGATTCCGTTGAGAAGAATAGTTTGAAGAACACGCTATTTGGCTGTGCACTTTTATATAAGGTGGTGTATTTCTGTGTACCTGCGCCTCGTGTTGTTGTATCTGCAATCAATTGTGAACAAATTTGGAATATTATGAACAAATATAAACAAGTTTGTCCATAATTGTGTATGAAATAATACGCAACATCGCAGCTACACATAAATACATTAGAGCGTGTTATAAAGTTTACAAACAGTGTGTAAGACTCAAAACTATGTTTTTATTGTTGTTTGTGTCTAAACTTTGCGTATAGATGTCAACACGTTTAATATGCAATGTTGCAGGTCAGTGTAACAATCGTAAAGTTGCCGCCGTAAATACTCAGAATTACTTCCCTAATCATTACTAGCGTGCCAATTTAAAACTGTAAACATTTCAGAAAATTGCTAGGATATGTTTTACGGTAACCTAGTCGTGTACTAGTAAAAAAGTGTGCATAATTTGCACACCAAAGTGTGCAAGTTGTGATTTTGCACATTACATGCTGTTAAACTCAAGTTGCACACTTGCGTGGGAAGCAAATTTTAGACGTTTTGTAAACGTTTCAATTCTGCAGACTTGGACACACGCAGTTCTATTCTATCAATAGGAACCATAGGGTGCACATGTGCAGATGCTATTCTTTTCGTAAGTGTAGAAAGTTTAAACACCAACTGACGTAAAACATAGTTGGATGCCAGAATGTGTCTAGAAAATGCACATTTGAACTAAAACATCGATTGGCGTGCAAAATTAACAACTTGTTTTACCAGTGTGGAGTATTTCCAAATTAAAAGCGTTCAAATATATACACACTACGTTCTTCCAACGGACTCAAATTGTACCTTCAGCAATTTTCTTGCTCCTAAAGGCCCACGGCTATTCTCCTCGAGCGAGTATGGCTGTATGGCAGTGTCTACGACTAAATAAAAAAATAACCATAGTGCATGACAAAAAAGCGAAGGGCAGTAAACTGTAACTTTAATTTCCTTTCAGAATGACGGAACTTCCGTACTGTATTATTATAAACTGAACTGGAAGCTTGCAAACTAACATTCATCTTTTAGCACGACATATGCACCAGCACTCTCCATGCTTTGCCGTATGGCATACGTATGGGATACGAAATTCAGGGTTGTAACGAAGAAATAACGAAACTGTGAAATGTGATAACAGAAAAGATAGTAAGCGCAAAATATGACTTTTACGAGGGGGCAATGCAATGCTGAGAGGCAGGCACAGAATAACTCTACACGCGAGATAGCGCTGGATTTCGCGACTACCCTCATCAACCCCGTTAACACCATTGTTGTGAAGACATGACAGCCGGACACCTGCCCGGACTGAATGTATACGTTCCCAAATTGGCGTCATGCGGTTACACGATAACAAACACGAAACTGACCAGGGAGTGACCACGGCCGCGACCCCTCCTGCACATCATCAATCCGAGAAACCGGTTCCCACCTGACTCGCGGAAGACCATGGCGGGCGGGCCGGGCTCCAAGTGGCGGAAAATGGAGACAAGGAGGGTGAGATGCTTATTGTCCAGCGCAGCCCAGTGGTCAAGCGAGGGGAGTGAATCATGTGGTCAGCCCGACACGGCACGCGCCACCAACAAAAGGGGGGACAAAAGGCATTAAAAACTCGCCAACAGGTGGCAAGCAGCGGCCCGTCCAGTTTGTCCGGTTTATTTTTCATGCCAACTTAACCTTATTGTGGCCAGCATCGCATTTGTTATTCATTACGGCTCAATTTCACAACGTTTACATTTTCCTTGACTTGCCGCCTGTTGTTTTTTCTATCTGCAGGAATTTGTGACGCGCACGTGAAATATTGACTTGTACTAGCTGTTCACGATGTTTAGAGGTAACTACAAAACTGCAATATGAATGAAGTCTGAGCGCATTTTGTGATTTACCAGCCTAAAACTGTTTCGTACACGTATAAAGCTATGATGGCGATTCTATCTGCGCTCAACATCAGTAATGCACAGACAAATATAATAAATAGTTATTATGTATTCACAACTAAATGCCGGCAGCAGTTATTTCATTCTAGTCACAGATTTTACTAAATACTGTACAGATTTCTGAAGCAAATGCACAACAGCTTTTGATTACAACTGTCATGACGGAAGAGCAATTCAAAAATAGTACAGGTGTAAACGGAAACGTAACAATAAACAGGCATTTCAAAAGGCGCATTTTTATGGCGCAAAAATAAATCATATGATCTCCCGGAAAAACACTAAAAAAAGCAACTTCAAAGAAGTGAGCGAGGAGTTCTCAAACTACGCTGTGAGATAAACAGAAAAAACAAACTAATTGAACAAGAAAATTGGAAAGTACGTTTAAAGGAGATTTTTAAGCGAAACTACGAATGTGGGCCCACGTTTACTCTGCAGGTTTGTTTGAACGGCACATTCGCCAGAGTGCAGAACTAAATGTCTCTGGAAATTTAAATAATAACTCATGCTGAGATCTGCGAAAACTCCCAACTTCTATTAAGTGTGTCCACTATACCTTCCTGGTGATTTTCAAAATGTCTGTGCCAAGACTGAAAGCACCGTGAGGGGGCAACAGCTCCGGGAATCATGTGTACACCTGCCTGGGAATCATCCCGATAAAAATTGTTCGAAATCAACAGAAATCGCATAAATTTAGTGGGAAAATAGAGCAACTGGTACAAATTAGTCGAAATAATCGTTTTCTACCACTGACAAATCTAAGGAATAAATAAAAGCGGACGGGAATCACTGGGAATCAAGAATTTCGGGAATCATGTGTACACTTCAGAAGGGAGTTATTGTCGCCTCGAAGCACGGTTTTTCTGAGTTTTATTGGCACCTATCCCGAAATAGGACACGGAAAATGTATTTCCAATGTTTACAACAAAACTAGCTCAAGAAGCGTGGCGCACACACTTGCAGGGCACTAATGAACCTTATCATCCCCGGGGGAACAGCGCCGCCGGGATCTTGAAATATCAGAGAGAGCGCGGGGCTCGCTAAAATTTCTTGACATATCTCTCGCATTCCTCCTCTTGCTAGAAAATCCCGTCCCGTAGAACGAGATCGTGTAGCCGCCGCTGTTGCCGCTCCGGGAGGCAACAAGGGAAAAATAGTAATGAACCCTTCTTAATAAAGGGTGTAAAGTGCGCGTACGTCTTCGGCCTGAGGCGACCGGCACATGTACGCACCCAAGTCCTCGGGCTGGGGCGCAGCCTGGCGCTGGGACCGAGTGCCAGTCCGTGTACGTTAATTTTAATTTAAAACGGGCGTGTGTGCGTGCGGGGCTCGTGTGTGTGTGGGTGTGCGTGGATGGTGGGTGGGAGTGTCTGAGGAAGAAAATGAAAGAAAGTGAGGGGTGGGACCCTAGGGGACCACGGGGGTGGCGGAGAGAGAGCAACTTATTAGGCGAGCTGGCCGGCCGACAGAGAGAGAAGCACGCTCGGTAGATGAGGGGGGACAGAGCGAGCAGGAAGAGGAGGAAAGAAGGGCTAGGCAAAGGAGAAAGAGGAGAAGGAGGAAAGAAATCGCCCCCTCTCTCTCTCTCTCTCTCTCTCTCGCCCCCACAGGGCGGCCGGGACGCGCACCACGAGGGAGATGTGGAAGGGGAGATAAAAATTTGGAAGACAAAGAAGGTGCGCGCGAGGAGTTAGCGGAGCGAGAGAGAGAGAGAGAGAGAGAGCGAGAGAGAGAGAGAGAGAGAGAGAGAGAGAGAGAGAGAGACCCGGCGCGCACGTCGAAGACCTTCTCCCTCGACTTCCCTCTCTCTTTCCATCCCGCAGCTTCCTTCCAATTTCCAACAACCCCTTGCCACCACGTGCCGGCCTGCCACGCCCGAACTCCCCGCTCACTCACGTCCTCCCAGAAAGCAGATCTCTCGTAAACGTAAAAGGGTATCGCTTGACAGTGGTGGCAGCGGAGCCAGACGCGCGGCCGGGCGGGCATGTGTGGAGCGCGCCGGGGGCGGGGCGGGCGCCGAGTAGGCAGGCCTGGCGAGCACCCCGGCGGGCGGGAAGCCTACCCGGCGCCTGCACGAGCGCCTTGCCGGAGGAGCCGCGCACGGCCGGCCTACCCGCGCCCTAACGAGGCTAATGGCAGCCGAATTTCAGCCCAAAACCTCGGCTGATGATGCAGGCCCGACTGAGCCGGGCGGAGCCGGGCGAGGCTGAGCCGCCGAGAGGCACACGAGCACGGCTGGCCGCGGAGAAAAAGCAGCCGAGCAGCGAATGACTTGGCAGTGAACGCCTCGGGCTTCATTTGCATCCCCCGTAAGACGCGCGAGCTAGGGGCTCGACCCGCCCCGCC